AGATTCTTTTTAAGTGGTTGCTCTATTGAAGCTTGCCTTAAACTTCAAAGTCAAGGCAAAGTTTTGGACTACTTTGAGCAAGGCATCGTTCTTAATCCAAGTTAACGTAGAGATGGTGCCACATTAGCAGACCCAGGCTATGGGTCTCCGGCATGCCAAGTTCACCTGTGTGTATGTTAAGAACGTTGTTCACAAGAAAATCCAACTTCTCTTTGGACCAGAAATTGAACTGTCATGCTCAGAAGGCTTGAGATCTTGAAAGTGAATGTGAAGCTGAGGTTATTTTTGTGGCTTGTTCAAAGCAGGAGTGCAGAAACTTTTCTTGGCCGAGGGCCACATTCAGTATTGGAGAAGCTCTCGCACGCTGAATGCCAGTGGTAGCTGGGAGTCAAAGGTGAAGAGGGTGGGATCCCAAAACACACACACACTCACACACACACAATACCTGCGTAGTGCCACTTAAAGCTCTCACTGCTACTGACAAAGCCTTAGGGGAAGGATTTCAAACTTCTAGAAGGGTGGAAAGTTACACGAATACTGGGGAACTACCAGATCTAGAGGGCAAAAGAAGGAGGGGACGGCAGAGGATGAGGTGGCTGGATGGAGTCACTGAAGCAGTTGGGGTGAGCTTAAGTGGACCCCGGGGGATGGTGGAGGACAGGAGGGCCTGGAGGAGTGTTGTCCATGGGGTCACGATGGGTCAGACACGACTTCGCGACTCACAACAACAACCACAACAACTGGATGATTGCTGGTTTTGAGAAAGGGGTGGTGCCTGCTGGAGAGCTTTGGGAGCTCATGTTGGGATCCTTGGGATTTACTTCCAAGTACAGTCCTTGCCAGTGGATCTTGGCCTTGGATAAGGACATGATTGCACAATGTACCACTGCGCTGAGCGTCTTAAAGGCTGCTTCTTTTCCGCCCCGCAAGATGCCTCTTGTGCAGAGGCCGCTAGTTCGGTGGTGTATCCTGGTAATTCTGGGATGTTTCTTCTGATCAGTTACCAGTCTTCGCTTTAGGCATCAAGAGAATGCTGTGGCCACCCAGTTTGTCAGACTATGAAAAACAAATACACTGCTGTGCAGGTCCCAGGGTTTTGTGTGTTTAGAAACCAAAACCCCAAACTAAAACTGCTCTGCCAGACAAGAAAAAACATTGGGAACCATTTTCCAAACCTCACAAATCATGCTAATTTAATGTCAACAGTGAACTCTGCATTCGAAGAGGACAATCCTAATTTAAAGGGGTAGATGCTTAACTTCTAAGAAGAAAGGCAAATGAAAGACCAAAATACCTCTGAGGAATTTATCAGGTATAGATTTCAAAATGAATAATAATAATATTCGTAACCAACTGAAACATTCTCTCTAGTGATTAGCCATGCAATAGCCAGGCTGATGCTATAATTATATTCAGTTTCCTGTCGATAGGAGACATTTTGACCGAGGAGCCAGCTTGCTTTGCTTGCGTTGTGTACACTCATTTCACTTTGGAGCAAATGCCAGTAAGCAGGGACGTGTGGTTTCCAAAACCTGTTTGAGCAGAGCACACAAAAGGCATCTTTGTCTTCATCACTGGAACTTAAGCTCTTCTCATGAGAGAGAGAGAGAGAGAGAGAGAGAAGGAGGAGGAGGAGGAGGAGGAGGAAGCAGCAGCAGCAGCAGCAGCAGCTGCAGCAAAACAAAAAAGCCCAAGATAAAATAAAGCACCAGTCTGTCTCCATCTTTGGTGTGAGTGTAAATATTAAATATCTTCTTTTGAAACCCAGATGCTGAGTCTGGGTGCAGCACTGCTCAAAACACCACCGAGTGTGAGAATTCGGAAGAGGAGACTTGATGCAGAAGAGGCAGCGTTTTTGCTGTTCGGTTCCTTTGTCTTGCCAGTCATCACAGGCTGGAACTACTGCTCCCCTGAAGCAGTTACCCAGCAGTGGGCTCTGTTAGCCAATCTAAATGGAGCACGATAGGCCTTGGACATCTTGGGCCTTGCTTTGGCCTACAGAAGCTCCATCGTGATTCAGAAGACTGGGGCGGTGTAAGTCGGTGTCCTGCAGCAGCAGGGGGTTGGACCCGATGGCTTTCATGGCCCTTCCAACTCTGTGATTCTATGATAGTTCCATTCTCTTTTCCCAAGTTCGTTGGTTTGTCTCATTCATTCCATCGGAATATTGCCAGATGGCATCCTGGCAGTGTCCACTTTCTGTTTTGCTGGGATCCTCAGATTTTGGGATCAGTGGGGACATTTGGACTGCTGAGAGTCTCACAAAATGCTAGTGTGGGTCTTATCCATTCTTAAAATGGCTTCTGTGATGGGCACTGCTGGTCAAAAGAGCACTTGTTTCCCAGAAGCCAGCCAGGTAGGTCCAGAAGAGAAGGAACTCCATGCAAGGCCCAAGTGAAGTCTGAGTTCCACAACACAAATCATTCCTTGGAATCCAGTTCCAAATCACGCACTGGCCTCCTAGTTTTTCTTTCTTTCTTTTTTTTAGAATACACTTAAAAAAAATAAAGGTTCCCCTGCAAGCAACAAACATTTAGTGGAGCAGGAAGGCTGGCAGTTGCCAAGCGGTGTTTGTGGGCACGTTGGTTGCCACAGCTCACACACTCGGCAAGTTCAGTGGCGTTAGAAAATGAATCCTGACCATACCAGTGGCTACAGCCGCCCAAAGCTGGCTGACTGCTGCAGGGCAGGGAATAGCACTGCTGCAAATATTGACTCCGGGGGAAAAACAGCTTTGTCATTGACCTCTGTTGAAACTGAACCTAACTGGAGTGCAGGTGTCCATGTCAGTGGCCAGGGCAACAGCGCTAAAGCCAGCCTACCCATTTCTGATCGCGCCCCAAATGCGCTGCTTCAGCCAGCCTCATGATACGGGAGCCACGCTATACAGACAAACTTCCCGAGCGCCGTGTCCCACCCTTCAGTCCCCAGCATTTGACCTAACATTCCGTGGGTGAATTCCCTTGAGGAAGGTGCTGCCCCCCTCTCTTGTCATGGGATCCGAGGACTGACAGCACTTGACCCCAGCGAGAGGAGAGGAGACGGTTGCTCTGTGGTTCGGCTTATCAGCAAGCTCTCCAAGAAGACGGAAGACTTGAGTGGCAGCGATGCAATTTCGCCTGCCTGCCGCTTCATGCAAAGTAACTACCACCTGCATGAGCACTGTAGCAAGGAGATGAAAAGAAGCAATGAATTCCCGGTTTGGGGATGCCTGTCGGGAGATGATAAATCACCTTCTGGGATACTTGACAAGATATGATAAATCTTTGTCTTGGCATTTGCTTTACTACGTTGGAAGGCTCAGCCTACAGAAACATGCCAAATCTCCTTAGGCATCTGCCAGCATTGTCTGTTTTCTTGCAGAAGATGTTGCTAACTTTAAGTTATAATGAAGCAAATTGCACCGTGTGTTCTTTAAAGCACCAGGCACTTCTCGTCGTCCTCTCTCTCACACACCCATCCATTAAGCCACAGGGGCCATTGGATGGATTTCTCCAACATCTGCGATGGTGGTGGAAGATACCCTGCTGAAGCCACAAGGCCTGGGCCAGAGCTTATGGCTAGCTGGACTGGGGGCGGTGGGGGGGGGGGGCTTTCCCAGTGCTGAACCGTGAGCTGTGACAAAGCCAAGTGTCTGCCGGTAGAGGAGATGGGAAGTGAGCAATGGGCTTCTTGCAGATCCACTAGGGCTGATTGCATCTCCAGGGAACCCACCCAACGCAGCTGCCAATCACCCTACAAAGAGGGGAAATTCCTCAGCGCGCAACTTCTGTGCATTTGAGTAACCTAAAGATGAATCCGGCAAAGTTCTACTCAAGTTCACCACCTGAAGCTTGTGCCGTCTTTCACAGACACATGCAAAGGCACAAACTTCTTCTGTGATGTGGTATGTTCTGTGGATACAGGAACACAATATTTCTTCCTGTTTTAGTTAGAGACCGAGTGCTTCCTCCATCTCGTCCTATCCCCAGGAGAGCTAAGTAATGCAGCCAGAGAACCACTGTTGCCGGTGGTGTGTCAAGAGTTGTAATCTCAGCCCCACCTTTGCTAAGGCTGCATGTGCAATTGCACTTCTGCATGACAGAAGTGAATCGCCATGACCCGTCTATATTTTGTGCATGGATTTGTGTTCTGCATTCTTTCTTATTTTGCAGAATTGACCCTGAGTTTGCAAGTTGCAAAGAAAGGAACATTGCTTTGCAGGACCCTGTCTTATGGTTTCACGAATATCTTCATAGCTATGTAAGAGCAAGACCTTTCCTTGAAAAGAAAAGCGGAGACTCTTGGAAAGCTAAATCTTGAGCCCAGCCACACAGTATTCTGTGCTTCTACAGCACAGCTGCATAAACAGCGCCCTATAATCCTTCTCTTAATTCTTGTCTTGGTACAGAACTTTACGTTCTGTGACATTTCAGAAACCTGCTAGACCTGTTTAACCGGAGCGGGACAAAATAAAAGTGTGCGTACCTTCAACTCCCCTTTTAAAAAGTCCCATTGCATGTAGTTTTGCACATAGGCCCTAATGGAGCATCTTGCATGTTAAATATATTTGATATACTTGTGACCAGCTGTTTTTCTGATAAACAACCCATCTGTAGCAAGCCAACCACTGCGGTGGTCTGGTCTGTCACTTTTCAGTTCCCATTCAAGTGGCATTCTGTGTTTCCAGAGAAACATGTTATGAAGTATCAGGCTCCCATCTGACTGCAGAGGAAAAACAAGAGCAATGGATTGGTTCCAAAGAGCCAGACATTTTCCAAGAATCCCTCTCTGGATTCCCTGCCTTGATTCCACTACACAGAACACATGAGTTTGCTGAAATGGGATACACTGAGAACGCTGGAAGCAAAGTTTGAGGTCCTGTAATTTTGTAAGGTAACTTGATTTACCTCGAGCCAAAGGTTCTAAGAATGCTTTAAGTGCTTGGAGGTGGAGTAGCCAGGGAGGAGTGGAGAGTAGTTATTTCAAAGTCAGAAGAATATTTAAATAGAGACGAGAAATCTTACCAAGAAATGTAATTTAAACACAGATGTGATTATCAAAATCAAAAGTCTCACACCAGTAAAACATTTTTCTTCCCCAAAACATACAACATCTACCTAAAAGAAAAACAGTACAAATTTTTTTTTGCTGCTTTAGCATAATACAGAAGAGTTATTTACACTGCTTAACAATGCACGTATCATTTGACAGAGATGATTATCTTGGCAAGCAAAGAATTTGCAGATGGCAGAAAGGAAAAGCTTTTGAAAATGGGGATGACGGGGACCTCCCCCCCCCCCCAGTACAATACAGATCTTTTTATACACAGTTTAAACTCTAAAGTGGAAAACAGACACCAAGCGAAACTTATGGCTACTTAAAAAGAAGGTCATACAGGCTGAGGCGAAATGGTGCAGGCTTCAGTACACCCTCAGTTCTGCCAGCTCCTAACTCTGCTTCAGGCAGACCGTTTACTGAGCTGTTTCCCAAAAGAAATGGGTTGCCAGATCTTGGCCTGCTGATGGGTATGGGATGCAGGAAGCTGTCTTAAGCGAGCCACTCCATGTACCCCAGTATTTTCAGCACTGACTGGCGGCCATAAGTTCCAACATGTCAGGCAGTTTTTCTTGCCCTGTGTGGAACACAAAGCGAGACCTTTTGCATGCCGTCACTTGAATTTCATCTCATTGTGTACATGAACTAGATAGCGGCAAAGGTCCATCTCTGCGCAGGCTGGAGAAACATCCTTTGAAAAGACCCGTGCAGCCTTTATCTCTCTCTCAAAAGCAGGCCAGGCCAAAGGGGAGCTATGGACCAAAAGCCTGGGCACAATTTCATTTTGTGCAAGAGTTTGTGAACCAAATGTAGCTCACATGGAAGGGTGCAGGGAAGAGAGCTGTTATTGCAGCTGGCATGCAAAGACCATCCGAGGGTAAAGAGGCCGGAAAATCAGTGAAGATGTACTTGCGAAGCAAGTGCGGCAGGGGGCAGGGGGCTCGTTCTCCAGTGCCTTGTTCCATTCATAAGGAAAAACCCTTCCCAAGTTGCCTCACTTCACAGGACCATAGCAGCACAGCCCAGAGGGACGACTCCATCACAGCCTAGAAACACAAGGGGCAAGTTCACATGACCACCACGGATAAGGAGCCACTGGGGCTTCCTTTCCCCACCCTGCAGGACTGCACTTGGCCGGTCACCCTTGTGGTGCGTGGCTTGCCATGTGTCGGAACCCTGCAGGCAGCGCGATGGCAGCAGGGCTTCCAGAGCATCCCCGACAACAAGCCACGGCTCCTGGGGTCATTTGGGAGCCGCCTTGGCCACACGCCTTGCCGAGTTCAGACAATATGGCAGCCCGGTTAAAACGACCAATTGCAGAGCCCCACCAGCTTGCACACAGGGAGGAAAGCAGCTGCCGATTTCCCTGGCGATGGGGCAAACCCAGCCACTGAGGTTTGTTTCGGGATCCGCTTAGCTGCAAATCCAAACCGGCTGTGTGCAACCATGTAAAGTGGGGGGGATTTTTGTTGGAAGCACACCACACGGGAAGAGAAGACATCCCTTTTCATCCTGCTGTGGTCCTGACGAAAACCGCCCTCTTTCCTGGATCTGAGATGGAATCCTGCCTCTGACCCTTGAAAGGGCTTTTCTCCCAGGGCCGAGGGCAGCCTGGGGAGGATGGCTCATGTGCCACAGATCATCACCGCCACATGTACTGCAACTAGGGCCACATCTGGTTTGACCCACAGTGCCCTCTGGGAGCATCTGGAAGCAAATCATGTGGCTGAGCTTGCATTCATCTCTGGTTTGGTGCCATTCCTAAAGAAATTCTGTGGGCTGGAAGAGGCAGTGACACGCAGCTAGCCTTCTGGGGGAAAAAGTCATTTGGAAGCAAAGGTATATACAGTATTTTCATCTGTAAGGTTTTATTTTTAGATGCAAATGTATTTTTTTCCTTTTGAAACTCGTAATATAATTCTCTAGTGTTTCATTTTTATAAAAAAATTAAGTTTATATCATTTTTATTCCATTATGAATTTACAATATGACATTTTATATAAATAGTTATATGCCACTTTCACCCCTCCGTAAGTGGAACTTCAAAGTGACACTGAATAAAACCAATAAACATCATTAAGCTCAATTAAGCTAGAGTGTAAAATGCATGCAGTGTATTGTATTGGTTATTTCAATTATTTGTGGTTACATGTGTGAGATTGATTTTTGCCCCGTTTTGAAAGGTACTAAATATCAGAGCTGACTGTGAATATAACCCATTTGTACTGCTGTTTTCCTTTTGCATCAGGTACTTCTTATGGCTGACTTGGATTCTGGGGAGAGAGGAAAACTGGAGGGAGCAGCACCCTCTTTCTGTTTGCCCACACCCCTTCCCAGAACCCCCGATCTGTCGTTGCACTGAGGCACAGAAAGAGAGAATAAAGCCTGGCACCTCTGAATAAGGCTAGAAAATTTAACCCTGCCTCCACCTCAATTCCAGAAGTGAAGAAAAGGGAAACATGCCCAAGGATTGAAACACGTTTGAGCAAGGCGAAGTTGGGGTTGCAGTTTGATCCATGGCAAAGATCTGTGCAAAGCCTTCCAAATCCGGCTGGGCACAGTTCAGAGTTTGTGCACAGGATTGTCTCTGCCCTCACGACTACCTTGAGGCGCTTCAGAAAGAGAATGGGCCGTGGAGGGCGTGCAGGTTTTGGTCCCCAAGCTGTGATGCGCACAGCAAAATTGCCCCAACTGGCCTTAGCGGTGTCCCTCCCCCACGGGAGGCAGCTGGCCAGGTGTGTGAACCAACTGTGGCTCTTGTGGGCCATTTCTTCCAGCACACACAGGCCTTTTGGCTTTAGGAAGGAAGGACTTTGCCCCAGCGATGCTTGGGTGTTGCTGGAAAAGTCACCCAACGAGCCCAGTGTAAGACTTCCAGAAGAGGCTCCTCTGATTCCTCGCCTCTGAAAATGGGCCACCACATCCCCCCACCCCGAATCCCACAGGCACAGACTGGATGCTTGTTTGAGAGGAGGGGTCAGGGACCACCCCCCCCAACCTCGGTGGAGGTTTTGCCGGGTTGCGGCACTCTTGAGGAAGGGCCAGTGCAGAGAAAATATTGAAAGCTGGATCAGAAAAAGCAAGTCCTTTGTGGGAAGGTGTGGCCAGGCCGCTGAAGGCAGGCAAATGGGGGTGCCTGCCTCGTTGACACCCCCGGAGCTGTTCTCCTTGTCACAGGAACCCAGGGCCCGCCTGGCCTCCGCCTTCCAAAGCAGAATGCGGCAAGCATGAACGTTGGGCTTTTTAGCGGAAACGGAGCACAGAATCACGGCGTCCCACATGCAAACAGGGAAGCATTTTCAGCCACAACTAACCGCTTCAGATGTATTTCACCATGGGAAAGGAAAGCAAACTTCAGCCATCGGAGCATTTTTATGACCATTTTCCTTATCTACCAGCACCCTCTCTAAGCTGTCTGCAAACATCAGAACACAAGCAAAATGCAGGTTTTGGCCTCTCATTTGTCATTGTTTCCTACTCTAAGGAGCAGGGGAGTTCAGTCTTTTAGTGTTTTAGTAGCAGCCAAGTTTTCTCTTTCATCTTTATGACTGGAAGTTAACACCCCAGAGGTAAAATGCAGCATGGAACCTGCCAAGGCTGCCCCAGTTCGCGGCATTTGTCATGGAGGATTCTGCATTTCCAAGGGTGCTTCTCCCTTTGACTGCAAAAAATGTAGAACAGTAGTGTTGGAGGGGACCAGGGACCACTGGCCCCTGCTCAGGGCAGGACTCCCAGTTAAACCATCCCTCCCAGACGGCTGCCCAGCTGCATCCTGAATGCCCCTAGTGTGGGAGAGCCCACCAGCTCCCCAGGTTCTGGGTTCCACTGTTGTACTGCCCTAACAGGAAATTTTTCATGGTCTTGAGCAGGAATCTGGCTTCCTGTAACTCAAGCCCAGTATTCCATGTCCTGCACTCTGGGATGGCCACGTCCAAGTTTCTTTATCCCTGAAGCAAGTGAGTTCATTTGCCACAGACAGCAGGGCCTGGGTCAGTCCTGCCACTGGAGCTGGCCTTGCCAGGAGCAGTGGAAATGAGATTGCAACAGGCAAGCAGATACTGTGGACAATTGAGAGCTTTCTTGGGTGGGAAGCCCTGAGTAGAGGGCACTTTCCTTGCAAGGAGAAAACAGTTCTTTAGCACACATTCCTAACAGGATGAGAGAGCTGTGGTGTGTGCCACACGCTTCCCAGCACCTGTCTCCAAGATCCGGGCTGAAACAGGGAGTCCTCGGTCTCTGAGGAAGACCATGTCTGAATGGCTTGATGGGCGGGAAGGCTTGATCAAATTCAAGGGCAGTGGCACCATTTTGGTCTTCAGACCCGAAGAAAGAAACCATGGAGCTAAGGTGGGGTTTTTCTGTGTGTTTGGTACAAAATTTACAACCAAGTTCAAGCCTGTTCTTGAACACACACACACTTTTTTCTGAATGCTCAAACAATTTATATATATGGGACAATTGTAGGGGCCAGGCTGAGTTATCGGGTTTGTCAGTTACATGGTTCAGTCTTGTAACCATGATATGAGTGCCAGCTCTATTTTTTAAAAGAAATGCTTCAACATATCCAGAAATCCAGGGAGCATGGAATCCCATGTGATCTGTAACCCAAGGGGAGTGGTGTGTTTGTGTGTGTGTGTGATACTTTCCTCGCTTCCTCAATGGCTTTGTTGGGAAGGAGCGCAATCATTTTGGGGTGAGACGGCATATGAAGTCCAAGCATCAGTTCCAGCCTTGCGTTTTCCCTGACACTGAGCTTCTCTATCTGCAGAAAACAGTGCTGTGAAAAAGAACATCTGGTCATGTGTCAAGACTCTACTATCTAAGTGGTAGAGTCCTGACACAGACAACCACCCCCTTCGTGGTTCTGTAAGCAGTGGGCCTCCCAAAGATGGTCAGTCTGCATTTAGTTGGTACCATTTTGGATTCCACGAGTGTCTTTCATACAGGATTAAATGCTGGTTCTGTATCAAAAAATGGGGCAGGGGAGGAATTCCTGGGTACAGAAAACTAATAGGCCAGCAAGAAAGCATGGCCAGGAGCCATCTTTCTCGACATGTTAGATTTCTGTTTGCTGGGAGATATTGTATGGAGAGGCACCAGTCAGCTGATCCTCCCACGGACTTGACCACCTCTGGGAGAACAAGGCCTGTGTTGGCAGGGCTGCTTTGGCGGCTGCCGCCTGAATCTGTTCTCTAGTGATGCCTTTGGCTGGCGGGGTGCTAGGGAAGGCGATGAGCTAGAATAACGGGGCATCTTTGGGTATGATGCCACTGCAGCAGGAAAGCCGTTTACGAAAAGCGTTTCCAACGCAGGCTTGGGGAAAAGGGCCTTTGGGGCTCGGATTACTTGAAAGCACTTCCTTTCACCAAAGCAGCCCTGCCAGCAGCATGTGATGTTGCGTGTTAGCTCCCAGGGGTAGCTTTCCTCATTTCGGGAGCATGATGTGCCACGGACAGTGCCGTTCAGGTGGAGGAAGTGTCCTCTTGTTCCGCCCTGGTTAAACATTTGTGGGACGAAAACGCTGGAGGATGCTTGTGCATTGCTGCCCAGATAATTACCAGTCCTAAGCTTCTCTCTAGCCCTGCCCTACATGCTGCTGAAAGCTCAAGGACGGGTGGACGGAAATACATCGGAGAGCACCAAAGCAGAGCTCACCCAGGCCTAAAGAAAAATCTCCCTCTCTCTCGGCCATCTTCCGCAGTGCCGACACGCAGAGCGATTTTGCAAGGAACCCCGTGGCACAGCTTGGCTTCCTTCTTCCAGATGATCACACCCACTACGTTTGGCAGCCGCAGCTGTGTGCACTGCTCCTCTCTGGGAGGGAAGGAGCCTGGGTCTCGGCTGTTGATGCTCTGGCTTCCAACAGCTGCCATATGTCATCCAGAGTTCCCTTGTGGTGAGGTTCTGGGCATCTGGTGCAGCGTTTCCACATTCCAAAGCATGTATCCACACAAGAAGCACAGATTCTAGCTCAGGAAGAATCTCCCACACAATAATGCAAACATGAGGATCCGGCCATTTGGGTCAAAGACGTTTCAGATAAAAAGCCCGTGTGCCCGTCCAATCCTCCTTGGCGATTCAGTGCCAGGAAGGCTCAAGTGCTCGAATGCAGATGATCCTAAGGGTGCCTCCTTGGGAAACTTCCATATCGGAAGGAAGGCTTGCAATGTAATGAGCTACTGATCTTCAACTATGGAGACATAGTTGCTTTCCAAGTTGGGATCCACCTCCTTTGCCATGAAACCCCCTCAGACAATGGACAGAGGTTCTGAAAACCCCGGAATGCACATGACACGAGTTGAGCAAAGCAACATCTCCAGCAAGGGCCGTGAGACTAACGTACGAAATACAAGGTTTTTCTTCCATTTGAAATAAATTGGATATATGGAAGCCAAGTGAGGAAAGCATCACCCAACGGACCCGGTAGAAAACCAAGCACATCATCAGAGCTGCAGAGGCAGGTTCAAGGAAGTCAGAACGACTGAGCTGAAGGCAGTGAAGAGAAGAAAATACTGTCTAGAAAATGATTCCCAATCCATCAACGTCCAACCGTTCTTTTGTCTCCATACATGGCTCAAATATACCACTAGGCTGCTACAAAATGAACTTGCAAAGGAGCCCGCAGTGTGACTGGACTCCATTTTCAAGGCAACATATCTACAGATTCAGTCTTTTGGATGCTGGAAGTGGAAGGGGTGGAGGAACTGGACCAATGCAATCTATTAAAAACTGTTGTGTCCACTAAAAAAATTGCAGCAGAAAACAAATCAGAGTGCTATTTGAAGTCTCTGGAGCCAAGAACCAGAGGAAAAACTTGGATAAAAGGTCCAGTCTGGATTGTCTTTATCAATACAGTGCTCACCACCTACACTTGAAAGGGCTTAGGTCCTCTTTGGAAAGGGTGGGGCTCAGCCTGTACCAGAAAATGCTGGTGGTGACAGTGTGTACACCTGGGCACGGGAGGTTGGGAAGATGGGTTTAGACATGTGCCTCTGAGGTTGGAGCACCTGGAAGCAGCTCTCCGTTCATCATGGTCTCTGAAACTAGCATCTTGTCTTTCCCAGAATCCAGCCGCTTTTTCTTGAGTTGCCTTTGATGGATCAGAGGAACAAGAGCCAGTACCAGACCCCCGACTATAGGAGGGACTCCAGCAAAGTAGAAGGAGAAGTGGTAACTCCCAAAATAGTCATGGAGTAATCCTAGAAAAGAGAAGCACATGGGTTTACGGTCTGAGCAACGTCAGGATGCATTTAAGCGTCTTTCTGCCAGGGAAGAGAGAGAGGGAAAGAGAGAGAGAGGGACCCATCAGAATAACTGTGTCCTGAACACCATGCTGGACCCTGAACCGATAACACAGGAGGCGCTAGTCCAGGATTCAGTCTATGTGTTACCCCTGTGTACCAAGACATGGAGGGACCTCCAGGAATATCACCCACTGCCTGGATGTGTCTTACATTACAAGGCCAGAAGATCAGCCAGTGTCGTTCCTGATCCCTGGCAAGGTTTCTGGGATGGAGGGCTTGCTGACCTGAGAAACTAGGACCCTTCCCTTCACTCCGAATGCTCCTCCCCTGTTGACGTCTGATTGCTTTCACCCAGTTTCGCCTTGCCCGGCCTGCAACTTGATGGAAGGCAAACCTGGTGCCTTGGACTTTGGTCGCTGATTTTGGTAGCCTCTGCACTCGCAGGTCCCCTTTGGATGAGACCGTCAAGGAGAAATTCGATTCCGTCACTGCAGTGGGTGCCTCAAACCCCTTCTTTCATAATTTTAATCAAAATCATGGTTCTATGAAACTACACATTTGTGTCTTTTCTTCTTCTTTTAAACAGAGAACTAATGAATACCCAGAAGGAGAAAAAAATCCTTCTAGAGATGTCAAGTAGAGGCAGTGTCCACTTTTGTTGCTTTCATCGGTGGAAAGATTACGCTTGCTGAAAAGCCTTTTCAGTTTGGAAAGCATTTTGGTTGCTTTCTACATAAACCGGCAATAAAGGGCTGTTAACATTTACCAGAACAAAACTGAAGTTTCTAAAAGCAGTCGTTACCCAACAGATGTTTATGCAGTGGCCAAAAGGTATTACTTATGAAAGCCATTGCTAAATTCTCAGAGGATTAAGCTACAAAAGCACAATAATCTGACTGAAAACCCCTGTCAGCAGGGACAGGGAATCTTGCAAATATATTTTCCCATTTCTTCCCGACTTGAGCTGGCCTTGGAAATGAATCGCTCGACTCGTCTTCGTACTCTCCCAGGCATTTTGCTAGCTGCAGAATACCCAGGAGTTACATAGTGCATTTCAAGTGTTCAAATGTTTTCCAAACTTTGTTTATGCAAGTTCATGCCAGAGATACTAGGGCAGTAAGACAACAAGCAAAGAACTCCAAACCAAACAAAAACCCTTCAGTTCTTATGAAAGAATGCAGATCTGTCCTTCAGTAGATAGCACATCGGTCTCCGTACATGTGGAGAAACAGGATGGTAACTTTGGAGCTGGGAGGGATATTTGAAGGGTGGGTACCTTAGATATTTTGCTAGACGATGGGACCTCCGTGCACATCACAGAGCAGTCAACGGGCTACAGTAACATGTGTTGCCTGGTTGTGTGCCTAATTCCAAGGCATGCAAAGGTGGCTTGCTGGGGATGGCAACCAGCTACCCTTCGACTGTATGTACTGGGTTTGGAGGACATGAGAAGCTGGTCAGTGAAGGTACCTGGGCAGCCCGGGCTGGTCTGCCACCAGCATACTCAGGGCGGTTAGCAAGCCATATTAATGAGGCCACAGACAGAGTCCCGATATCTGTGGTTTGGCATGAGGGCTGAGCTGGCAAGCCATGGCTTGAGATCAATCTGCAAACCAAAATCAGGAGCTCTAGTAGGAAGTGGAGTTGGGCTGCAGTTTAGTGTGATGGTCTGAACAGACACATGATGGTTTGTGGCCACCACTCGGCCTCTAGAGGAACTGAGGCCTGAGCAAATGGAAAATGGGAGCTCATTTGGAAGCTCAGCCATGGTTTGGATACTCAAGTAGTTTGTTAAAACCATGGTGCGACATCTGAACTGAGTCACTGCGTCCCAATCCAGGCATTTTTCCAAGGCAATGGAGGTGTCCCAAGGCATCAAAGGCACATGAGGGCCACCCCTACAGCCTGTCAGACATGTGGGAGCTCCTGGCCTAGATCCCCCTCCCAGGTTTACCAAGCCCAGCAGCTTTCTTACCAGCAATTGGGGGGGCCTGCTGTCATTGGAATGGCCATCAGCCCCAGGAGGTACCCGATGGCCTGCGACGCTTGCATGGGCCCAACCAGCTCGAAGGCAATGGGAGCCATAATCGTGATGAAGAGTCCGTCACAGAGTCCAAGGAAGAGGCAGACGACGATGACGCCCCAGAATGCGCGGCACTGTGGTAGCATCATGCACATGATCCCCAGGACTACGAAGGAGGCGACCTGAGGGAGCAGAACACCGAAGTTATTCGCGTGACAAAGGCGGAGCGATCCCACAGGGAAGGAGGTTCGGATGCTTTGTGGGTGGAAAACCTTCCACATCAGAGAGTCAGGGTGCCCCCCCTGAACATTCTCAAGGCTTCCTCTTTTTTCTAACCACTGATCTGGAGGCCAAGCACAAGGCTCAGGTGAACATCAGAATGTCAGAAAAGCCATGCCAGATCAGACCAGGGGATCCATCCAGCCCATGATAGCAACCAGCTGTCCAGAGGATCCCGCAGGAAGAATGAGGCGGAGTTAACAGTTCCTCGTGCCCAAGCTCCCCAGCAACTGGTGAATGCAGGCATGCCACCTCTGGTACTGGAAGCAGCACCTGGTCGTCAGGACCAGTAGCCTTCTCCTCCCTAGGTTTGCCCATTCCTGTCCAAATTGGTGGCCATCACTGCAAAGAAGTCCTTCCTTTGCTCTGTCCTAAATCTCCCACCAATCAGCTTCATGGGGTGACCACTGCGGGGTCCAGTATGAGGAGGAGGAGAAAAATGCCCCCCTCTTCACACCAGGCATAACCTCAAACACCTCTATAACCTCTCCCCTTACTTGCCTTCTCTCTAAGTTAAACAAATCCAGCTGGCGGCTGCAACCATTCCTCACAGGGGAGTGGCTCCACCCCACAATAATTTAAGTTGCCCTTCTTTGCACCTTTCCCAACAAAATAATGTCCTTTTTCAGGTGTGGTAACCAGAACTGTACATACTGTTCCAAGTGCGCTCACATCAAAGATTTGTACAATCTTTGCAGTTTTCTTCTCAGCTCCTTTCCTAATTATGCCTAGCATGGAATTAAATATAAGCTAATTTAGGAAGTCTTCTAAGTTGAGCCAGACAGTGTTTATTGGTATTATTTTTGCTAATACTTTTAAATACTCTTTCACTGCTTATTAATCCAGAATCTGTTTAGGTGTGGAGCAGTGTGTAAATGCTAATCGTAGTAGTAGCAGCAGCAGCAGCAGCAGCGGTAGGCATGAGCACCTGTGCCCTGAAGGCCACTGACTTCTAGTGCACTCACACTGTGTGCTGATGTTTCCAGAATCAATCTATGGCACTCCATAATTTGCTCTCATTAGGATTCTGCAAGCGCTTCTAATTACAGGCACTTGGTCATTCTCATTTCTTCCCCTGCCTCACAGCACAGATTTCCTTCCTCCTTCCCAACGTTTCTCTTCCCAATTAAGCAGATGATTCAGTCCTGTTTAGACTCGGCAACCGGAGCACATCAATTTGGCTTCCTAGTCCCTTGGGAACTTGAGACAACAAGAAATGTGAGATCCCCCGACGGGGCTGAATTTCGGAGAATGGGCAGTTGGAAGCAACACAGAGCAGAAGACCGGAAGGGAACACAGGCCCTTCAAACCACCCCGGGAGGCAAAGTAATCATGGATTAATAACATTATACAGCTTCATTAGGCGACTAGAAAAGGTTGTGCATGACCTTTGGATCTGGACATTGCTTTATCTTTTTTAATTCTCTAAAATGTCTGCCAAGAGTAAAACACTTTCCCCGTCTTAGTGTGGAATGCCAGGTTCACAGGGAGGCTGAAGGAGTCTGGCAAGCCCCTGCAGCTCTCTGGCTTACAACCTGCCTTCTTCCCACTGGTTTGTTTTCTGTGTTTTGCAACACCCGAATGCCTACGACACAAATCCTCTGGGAAAGGCTGAAGTTCAGGGCAGGCAGCCAGCTGAACATTTTGTTCCATCAAGGTGGTTTTATGGATCTCCCCAATTTGTGGATGCCTCTGCCTGCCTGCCTTGCTCAGCTGGGTGTCTGCAGCCTTCTGAGTGCAGAGGATTGGGGCAGTCACACAGGATGCCACCCGTACAGGCTTAAGAATGCCAGGGAAGCCATGCCAAAGGCCTCTCTGGCTGAGCATTACGCTCCAAGGCGGCCCCCTCGATGTCTCTGGAAACCCACAACCAGCTTGAGGGCATGATGGCGGCCTCCCACACTGGCATTCCATCTTCCTCGCATGAAATCAGTGGGATTCCCTGGCCTTTAGGGTCAGATTTTGGGGAGGAAGGGGAAGCATGGAGGGGCTGTAGCAAGAGGAGGTTCCCTCAAAGACTGTAGCGTGTGCAAGAAGGTTCCTGGGCAGCCCAGAGGAATCCGACCCGACAGTCTCAGAAGAAGGCCTCCTCGTTCCGGTGGCCTTCAGATGGGCTGGGCTACAGTTCCCATCACTTCCAGGCAGCGTGGCCAGGGGTCTGGCTGGCAGCGACCGCAGTCGCAATCCGACATGCCGGGAAGGCATCAGGGTGCAGGAGGCTGGTCCACGGTTTTGGTTCTCTTGCAGACGGACAGCTCTCTCTTGGAATAAATGAAAGCAGATGCAGGAAGAGCAGGCAGAGCCTACCTGCAAGTAAATCTTGTTCAGCCCATGGATCAGGTCACTGATTGGTCCTGACGTCAAGCGCCCGACCCCTGACATGGCTCCCAGGCAAACCAGCACGATCCAGGACTTATCTTTTTCTTTGAACTCCTCTTCCACAAACTTGACCTGGGAACGCAACAGAGAGAATCAGGAGACGGGGCTTGCTCTGCGAACAAAGAGGTGAAGCCTGCAGCAACTCAAAGCTCCACCAGTCCCAGGGATCTCCAGTGGACATGAATGGCTCCTTGGGTAGGGGTGAGATGCACACAAGTGCGCCTTCGTGACGGAAGCCATGCAACCAGCCTCCCAATCGTGGCTTCTCCAAGGGTTTTGCAGCCCTGGGCAAATGAAAATGAGCCACCTCAGTGCATCATAATGGCAGAAGGAGGCAGGAAGAAGCATCGACTGGGATCCTGCTTCTCATTTCCAGGTCTGCCATGTCTTGACTCCCTCCCTTTTCCAACTGTGCCTGGGCATCAGACAGTGGGTGGCCAGAAGGCTATGCATGGTGGCCCTCTGGAATCCATGTTGGCTAAGCTGTTTCTCAATCCCAAGAGTAACAGTAGGGTGGAGTTTCTTGAAACCAGGAATATCACCAAGAAGCTACAGCCAGACCCCACAGAGACAGCTATTCTGACTGCCCTGACACCTCAGAATGGGGGAAAAGAAAATTGCATCTCCTTTGTCTCAGGTTAGTTAAGATCAGCAAAAGATACCTGCCTTTCATAATTTTTTTACTACAGTGTATGTTCCACTGGCAAGCCGATAGGATGCTCTCCAGTTACGAGCTTCATTGCAGCCCACCTCAACTTTCTATGAACTATCCTGGGCATGCATAGCTGCAGCAACGTCTCCAACATTGGTGCAGGATGAGTCCCTCGTTGTCTTGTGGGAACAATGTATGACCTGCCTTACCATCCAGGAGGAAGTCAGCCACTCGGAATCCAGGTCAGGACATTTCCTGAGTCCTGGTCTCCGTGCTGGTGCTCCTGACCAGACACTCATTCATTTCTGGACCCTCCCCATCCCTTATCCTGGGTAAAACAGGATCTGACCCAGTCCCACCTCGCCCCACCAGTGTCCCCCACCACAATCTCAGAATATTCTCACCAGGTACACATAAGGGACAAAATATCCCAGAATGGCAGTTGCTATCCCAAAAGCCCACACCCGGTAGGTCTTTTTCCTGAAGACTCTCATGTTGAAATAATTCCGCATCTGTGACATGCACTGTTGCCGCCAGCTTCGGCTGTCCAGTTTCACAGGATCGTGTGGGTCAGAAGTAGATGGGAATACGGGCCGGAAAGTCAGAGACAAGAAGATCTGGACAAGCATGAAGATGCTGAGCACTTGGAACGTGTGGGCCAGCCCGATGGCCTGGCCAATAGTTTTCAAGAGGAACAGGAGGACCATGGAGAAGATGCAGCTGCCGGCGGTCACCAGCCCATTGGCCAAGCCCAGGCGACGTTTGAAGTAGTGCCCAAGGATAACCAAGGAAGGCTGGAACGCAAAAGAGCTGCCGCACCCAAAGAGGACTCCGTATGTGAAGTAACGGACTTCGAGGGACCTGGCGAGGGAACAGAGACAACAGTTACTTTGCTGGCGTCTTATTTTAGGAATATCTGCAGGTGGATCCCTCCGAGGCATCCATCTCACCTCGCGTATGTGGAAGGAGAAGGTCAGGACCGAACTGTGCATCCAGGTAATCCTGTAGCAGATGCTAGTGTTACATTTCCCCTTGTGCAAGTGCACATGCCTCCCCGCCACGTGTACTTCTTGAAATACTCTGCCCCACAGAGGGGTGGGGGGTTGAAAAGTAGGAAAAGGCCTTCACTGAGAGCAGTGGGAATTTCAGGGAAAAATAGGTGAGCTCTAAGTGGGGAATGCCCACTTCAAACGGGAAATGTCCGTTGATTCAGGAGTAAGAAGGAAGATAAGTTCCTCTCCTATCCCTATTAGTCCTAAACACGTTGGTGCATTCTTGATGACGCCTAGGTAGAGGGCAGGAGACCTTGCAGACGGTTGTGACTCCATTTTGGACTCTGGACTGGACCCTACTAGCCTTTGCTTCTGGAAAGCATCTTCAAACCGGCAATTCTGCTTAGCATCCTTGAACATGGACAGAGGGTCCAAACCAGAGCCCACCTGGAGCAAGGCCGTCCCAGTCCCGCCCTGAAGCGGTACAAAGGATTTTGCCCCAGTGGGTGCATGTGCTGGTGGGAGAGCAGTGGGCCTTGAGGCGGCATCTCCGGGTGAAGGGATGCTGTCCAAGAAGGAGGTTCTGCGCCAGGTGGGCCAAGGGAGGGACTCGCACAAGGCAGATTTCTGTGTTCAAGCACAATTCAGAACTACCCCTCTTGTCGCTAAGCAAAGCATTCTGTGAAGGGAAAAGCACCTGGACCGCATGCGCCACACTCAGAGCTCAGCTTAGTAACAAAACGGTCAGCGCGCACACGCACGCTCAGGAAGTATGCAAATGACAGGGTGGGAATCATGACGTTAAAATGGCCATCTTCACCCCATGATAACAGGAATCGCTGTGACTTAAAGGCTCTCGTCACAACAGATAAGGAGTGGGAGAAGGTGAGGTGGGGAAGAGAAGACTGGCAGCGTGCACAGCCCCGTGTCTAAAAATGCATGGACAGGGGGAAAAAAAAAAAAAAGATGCCTGAAAGCAGAAGCTAAGGTTTTGCTCACATGCTTGCCTTCTCGGCCCAGTTGTCGCACAGCCAGGATCTCCTCTGTCCTCTTACACCAAAACCAGGATGGGAAGCAAGCAAAGCTGTGCACTTCTAATCCCATTGATTTCAATGGGGCAGTTTTAAAAAAGTGTAATGCTCCCCCACTGAAATGAACGGGGTTTAAAATGAAATCAGAATGCAATGCAAACCCACATACAGATAATTTCCATCTATACAATCTCATAACTGTGCTTAATTTCGACTTTTTGAGCACAGCGCTTGAAATTTGGCAGGATACTGCACAAAAATGAAGTTCTCTTCTTGTTTAGTACGATCACAGTAAAATATCTTATTAGTACTTATTTTCATCCTTTCCCAACAAATTCTTGAATTTTTGTTGCCTAAAATTTGGAGTTTGGCCAAGTCATAAGTTATTATGTATGAAAAGCAGAAAAATAAGAAGACGATGAGTTTGCCCAAAGCTATGGGGCTGAATGATTTTAATTGTGCCAGCATGGAAAACTGTCAAAAATCTCATAATATAATTCACAGCAAGAGACAAACCGCAGGTATTTTAAAGCCCTGAAAACAAACAGAATGAGAACTCCTTGTTTTGATCAGAACAGCATACGGGAAAGGGGAAAATAGATGTTTCTCCAAAACTAATTTCTCAGCCTGGTGTTTCATTTTAGTCTGCGTAGCCAAGCAAAACATGAAAAGCTCGTTTGTCGTTCTGTTTTGGCTTACAAGAAAACATGAATCTTCTAAGCTTTTAATGTTGCACGTACTAGTTATTAACAGCTTCAGTTTGGAAGAGAAATCATTTCAGAAGAGGAAGGATCCAGCCATCCAGCCTGTCTCTGGGAGAAGAAAATGCTGAAGGAGCATTTCAATTTGGCCAAAGGCTGTCCAAAGCAGTGCATCCAAGAGCTTTCACAGAGGACAACTTTTCCTGAGCCAGATCTGCAGTTAGGCCAAGGTCCCTCAAGCCTTCACTGAACATCTGAAGCTGAGGCGAGGTGCTTTTAAGGGCATGACGACTTCTGTGGACTGTTTTAACCTACCTGGAGAGCTCTAGCTATTGAACGGCACACAAATGCAACAAAGAAAGTGTAATAATAACACAACAGCAACTCAAGTGTGGCTTCCCTAGCCCAATTCCTACCGCCCTTTAAATGTGCAAGACTACAGCTCCGAGCATCCCAACCAGCATAACCACTGGATGGTGGGAAATGACATCCAACATACTTGGCCAACACCAGCTTGGGGAAGGCTCATCTGTACAGTGGGTCCAATAAATGCTACACTCTAAGACAGCCTTCTCCTAGACTGCAACCAAGGAGACAGCATGGATGTGGCTTTTGTAGCTAGAAGCCATATGGGAACAATTTATTTTCTAAATGCCCCAGAAAACTGATTCCAAATGGAGCACACAGCATATACTTAAGCCATGCATTTTGTTCGAAGTTGAAGGCAGAAGAAAGGGGAGACCAAATACGAGATGGATCGGATCCAGAAAGGAAGCCGCAGACCTGAGCTTAGACATCTGAGCAGAGCAATGAACAGACCATTTGGAGGGCTTTCGTTCCTGGGGTTGCCAGAGGCTGCAAGGCAACTTGCTGGCACATAGCAGCAACAGCATGTTTGAAAGTACAGCTGTGGTTCTGGGGCACAGGTGTCTAGTTAAGAGCAGCCGCACGTTCAATGCAATGGTGTCCCCAGAAGCCCGGGCTCGTCTCTTAGGGCTGGGAGTCCAGCACAACACTTCGCTGCAGGTTCCTGCTTGCGCTCTCCTAATGATGGAGCCTGCACATTTTTTCCTCTTCTTCTTGGTATGTATGCTTCCCGGTGGCAAGTTCTTCCAGCAGGCCAAACACGTACTTGCCTGCAGGGCAGGGATCCTCCGCCCCGTGTGTCTAAATCGTGTTTCTCCAGCCTTCCAAGCCGGCACGTAAGGCTGCCCTCGGAGATGCTGCGACAGCTCAGCCACGCTGCTTCTTTGCCAAAGCACGGCTTGTCTTGTTTGGCGATGAGGGGCCGCGAGAGCTCTGAAAAGCGGCTCAGCCCAGGCGTTTTCTGGGAAGCGCCTGGACTCTGCCGAGGGAAGCCGGGAAGCCTTACCTAGTGAAGCTGCTGGAGAAGAGTCCGATGAAGGCGATGGCCGCTCCCGAGGTGGCTGTCGTCCTGCACCCGATGCGGTCCGTGAAGATGCTCACAATGGGGGAGCACAGGAAGACCATCCCCATGCCGATGGAGCCAACCAGGGCTGCGGGCGGGAAAGAAAGACAGGGCAAGCTCAGCAGCTGTGTCCAGGAGGGAAACTGAGGCGGGCAGTGGTGTTGCGAGGGAGGGGCTCGGCACGCCGACTCCCGTATGTCTGCAAGCCTTGACCTGGGAGTGAATATGTGCTCCCCGTATTTCGGGCTGCCGCCTTGGAACGCCGACACTGGGCCCTTTATATCCTAAGGTAGTTGGGGGGCCGCTCGCTCCTTCACCTGCATTCTTGCTGTCCGCTTCCTTCCTCAATTACAGGGTAGGCAGCCTGGGGACCTGCTCGCTCGCCGCAGACTTGTTTGGGGCTTAAAGGAGAGTTCGTGCTCCTGCAGGGATGCCCCCTCCCGTCCACCGGCTGAGCATTCCTGACCCTCCCTCCCTCCACCTTGAGGACAAACATGCCGCAGCTGTGGGAGATCAAGCAAGCCTAGAAAGCTGCACAGCAGGGAAAGTGTGGCTGCAGGGTGGGGGGGGGGTCAAGCGTGGAGGGGAGGATGACCAGGACAGCAACTGCTCTGTCCTTTGCTGCTCGGGGCATTTAAAAGAGCCCGGATGCTGGATTTCCTGGCTGTGAGGCAACCTGAAGTTTCGAAGGGTTACATGCCCAGGTTGTTGATGGATGGTGAAGGAGCCCTGAACTAGGAGCACAGACGGGAGACGGGCAGGGGACCGGAAGTGAAGGACGCCCCCAGCCCAATGGCCAGCCCCATATAGAGAATATTAGTTTGGGGTTTAAAATATAAAATATCAGTTTGGGGTCTGAAAGGATCCATAAAACCGATTCCATATTAGCCTATCCCTATGTATTTGTATTTAGCAAAACATGCTACTGTCGTTAAAAACAATTGTGGATAAACTTCAATGAAGGCAGCCAAAATGCCCATATATTTATCAATTTGCAAGCCACTCCTAAGGCCACCCATTTCGTTAAATCCTCCACCCACGGCGTTATCGGAGGTAGCCGGTGAGCCTTCTGGGGTTGCAGGCTTTTAGCGGTCAAAAGGGTACGGAGAATCCAGTCCTGCTGCCCTTGCATTAAATTCCAAGAGACAAAAGACATTGGCAAGAAGGACGTGCTCTGCACTGAATGTTATGTGGGGCCCAGAGGACTCCTGTTGGCCATGGGGGCAGAGCAGGACTGAAACGGGGGCAGAGGGGAGGGGACTCTTGGTGAGGTACAAGGCGCACAGTGCAGCCGAAGCCTTCTGAAGGGGTGACGGGGCATCCTTCCAGCAGCAGCAGAAGCATTAAAAGGGGAGGGGGAAGGGGAGAGGTTGGGGAAAGCAACCTTATTAAACTGGAAAGCCGGCTTATTAAACTGAATAGTTCCAAAAATGCTCCTGCCTATTGAAACCGAAGTAGTAAAATGCTGCACTGCTGCTGTACAGTTTGAAATTTACTCACGGATGTGGTTGTTGGCAGAAATTAGCCCAGGAAACATGGACATAAAAGCATCAGGCACATATTAAATCTAATGGGCTCCATTCAGAATGCAATTAAAATGGAGTTACACATAAAGGGTTGGTACTGGAATCTGGCCTGAGATTTGGTCTCAGGGAGAAGATTAAAGAAGGACTGAACCTGGATTTCAGAAAGCTTTGCTTTCTTCTTCCATCAAAATGAAAAACTCCAGGTGCTTCCATATGAGGCATTCAGTGTGGACCTGCCATCCTTTGTCTGCTTGCTTTTTATAGGGCATCTGTCGCAACCCTTTCTTAGCAAGCGCCTTCCTGTATTTTCCCTGTGGTTCCTCCCTCTTTTTCTCAGACTGCAGAAAATCCGGCATTCTGTAGGAGAAACAATCAAGAGCACAATCCCTGGAAATGGAGACCCCTGCGGTGCTGCCTTTGCGGAAGGGATTCCAAAGGATGAAGGAACCTACCAACAAGCGAAGCATTCATCATATGATGCACCTTCACTCTCACCTGGCCAGTCGGAGCGGTTTCATCACTCTCAGCTTCTATGCCCACCTTTTCCAGCCTCATGTCTAGGGACCCAAGCCAGCCCTCCTGGTAATCCCATTCAGGATCCCCCGGAAGAGCACGGCCACTTCCCCTTCCCCTTCCTGCAGCTTCCCCCCTTTCTCCTGACCACGGATCACTTGCTGCTTTCCTGGCTTCTGCACATTTGTTTTGCCCAGACTTCCTGGTAGCAAGGGCTTGGAGCTGAACAGGCCGGGGTTTTCGCCAGTGGCTCTGTCCTGGCCCAAAGAGCCCCCGCCCCCCATTCAGCCTTGGGCTCAACAACTCGAGGGGGATCTCTTCCCCTGCAACTGAAGCACCCTGATTCTCTGGGAATGGTCCCGTCCATCCATTCCATGCTTTTCTTCCCAGAGGAAGCCCGACTTGGCATGCAAGTTACGCCCCCGCAGAACTGTCTCCAGTCCCAGATCCGTTTCACTTTAGCAGATGCCTCCTGGCGACGTGTGGACGAATGTGTCAAGTTGTGGTAGAAGTCGCTCTCCAGCTGGGTCAAACACATCTCTTTCCAAGCAAAGCCCCCGGTAAATGGGGACGAGAGGAAACTATTTTTACTGACTTGTTTTTCCGGGAGAAGAAACAAAAGAGAAGAGGAAGCAATTGTTTTCAGACAAAACCCCAACCCCTTTGGGGTATTTGGCTCGCTGTTCTGAAAGCTGCTGCAAAACATTGCCTTTAAAAACCATGCTCTGGGCTTATTACATATTACATTCGGCACCACTTAACCTCCAGACAAATGACGGGGAAGCATCTGGTTTAGGGTTTCTGGCTGAAGGAGGGCAAATGTGCGTGGAGGAGGCAAGTTCAGTCGGAAATTCCCTGGCCATATCCCAGCATGCAGTTCTGGCATCCAGCACACGCCGAGACATGGAGGCTCGCGGTCTTGTTTTTCACAACCAGTGTCAGCGACACCAACCCCTCCCTCCTGTGTGCCACACGCTCCCCCAGCTGGAGACTTCCTCTGCTTTTTGCACCCTGGAGGAGGCATGGCCAGAGCAGCGATCCTCGCCGAGGGGCAGGTGGGTGGCTTCAGGGTGAGCGATTCTGCAAGCAATTTGGGGAGATGGGCAGCACTTTTTCCAAGTCCTATTGGATCACTTTTCCCTCTACGCCGGACTTGGCATTGAACCTGGGACTTTCTCTGTGCAAGGAAAATGCTCTGCGCACCCCCCAAAATTAGTCGCAGCCCTGCCTGAAATCCTCCAATCGGAGTTATCTGGGCTGAGATCGGCAGGGCCGCCATTTGATGCAACAGCAGATGTTCCTGGGAGGGAGCTCAGAGGCAGCCCCCTGTTAATTGCCTGGCATCTGCAGCTGGGACTGAGAAAGACTAACATCTGGGACACTGAGGGATGTTGCCAGCCTGTGTGGGCAAAGCTGGGCTGGATGGACCGACAGTCTGGCCCTGGAGAAAGCATCTCATGTTCGTATCCCAGATCAGCATGCTGAATGCCCGATCAGGGCAGATGACATGGCGACAGCAACAGCTCAGTGGAAGAAGGCAGGGCCGGAGCAGGGACCCACGCAGAACTGCAAACATACTTCAGAAGAAACGCTAACAGAACAAAACTCCCCCCAAACCAAAAGTCAACCAAGTATGTTCAGACGGTTTGTTTAATCATTTGAAGTATCTTTACTTTTTGAGCCAAACAGAGTCCCAGAGCCATTTATGCAGGTCTCATAAAGGCAAGGCACTTCTTGCCTACCGAAGGACACGATACAAAAGAAAAGAGGATGACGAGGGAGGAGGAAAGTGTGGATACAGGCACTATTTGTTCAAAGCAAACGGAGGTCCTTAGAGCAGCCCGCAGGAAACAGTTTGGAGAGGGGAGGAGCCTGGGAGGGCCGCTCTTGGCAGAGCTGATGGAAGGACCTTCTGCCATCTCCCCCTGCCAGCTGGAGTCCTGAATAGGAGGCAGGCTGTGCTGCAACATTCTTCTGCAGGAGCAACGGGCATGTCCTGCAAAGGGAGTCGCAAGACCCCAGGAACAAGTGGGCTCTGGCCAGGCGTTCACTGGCAGGCCCGACGCGGGGGTGGAGAGGCGCACACGCAAGTTCCCCCATGCAGCGTGCCCACCGCCTGCCTGGCAGCCATTTGCACACCGTACGAAGTTCTGAAGAGGGCTCTGAGGAACCGTCGTCCTGCCCACGTGCCTGGTGCGACCGTGCAAGCGGGCACCTGCTTCAGGCTGGCATCCCATCTGAATGTACGACCCACACCATCCCCAGGGTATTCACCAGGAATGCGACCCGAGTTTCCTTTACAAAAAATAAACCTCGGACTGGTATGGATCCGAGCGGGTCTAGTGAAGAACACGGAATGTCCCATTCTTTGAGGCATTATGGCGGATTAAGAAGGAATGCGGAGGGCAGGAGAGACGGCCTGTTGTTCTGCCCTGGAGACTTTAGCACTGCTATCCAGCTGTCCATGGGGGTCAAAGGATCGTTGAACTGCTTGTCCCACCACGCAAGGCGACTTTGCTGATCCAGCAAGCTGAGCACGTCTCCGGCCCTTGAACTCGATGTTTGTGCATTGAGCAAGCTGTCCGGGTCACTCACTGGACTTCTGCTCCTCTGAGCAGGTGAGTCTTCTCTGCATGACTCAGCCACCCAGGGTAACTTCCAGAGCGGGTTGTCGTGTCGAGCAACGCACTGGATTGCTCTTTCCTCTACATCTGACTTGGCATCAAACCTGGGACTTTGTCTGTGCAAGGAAATGCTTTGCTCATCACCCCAGATTAGCTGCAGTGTTTTTGCAGGGTGGCTCTGCCAATCCTGCGGGACACAGGCCTCCCTGACAAACTGTGGCTACGAGAAAAATCGCTTGCGGGCTGGTGACTGGACATGCCAACCTGCCCACCAGCAATGGGTTTTGCGGAGCGGAAGCCCCTTTGTGAGGGCTTCCCACCCGATACGGATTTCTCCGGACTGGGGTCGGCTTGCAACCGGATGGCCTTCCTGGAGAGCCCTCTCTTAGCAGGTTCTTCACACGCGGCCTGAGCCAGACACGGTC